CCAACATGCTGGCTGGGGAATTCTGGGAGTTGAAGTCCACGCATCTTCAAGTTGCCAAGGTTGAGAAACACTGCTCTACACCAAACCGGCCCCCAATAATAATAATAAAGTCCCTGCAGTTTTCTTGGCAAGGTTTTTCAGAAGGGGGTTGCCATTGCCTCCTTCCTAGGGCTGAGAGAAAGTGACTGGCCCAAGGTCACCCTGCTGTCTTCATGCCTAAGGTGGGACTAGAACTCGTGATCACCCAGTTTCTAGCCTAGTGCCTTAACCACTTACACCAAACTTCCCTACAATTAGTTTGTTAAGACAAGGCTTCACCGTACATTACATTCTAAGAAGTGAGCTGTATTCATTTCTGGTGGCAGAAAACTCAGAGGACCGGTAGCTCTTTTTCCTAAGCATCTGATGACGCGAACTGCAGCTCATGAAAGCAACTGCCAGAATGTGTTAGTCAGAAAAAGCGCTACCAGATCTCTGATGGCTTGCCATTGTACCTAATCTGGTGGTCACCAAAGCAAAACCGACGGAAGTCCAGCCCATTACTATCCTGAAAGAAAATCCCCCCAAAACAGAATTTATGGCTGAGCAAACTCCAAAAAGACTTGCTGGCAAAGTCTACTCACCTCGGTGCACTTCATTTCTGAGATATGAATCATGTTGATGTTGACGATGAGATCCAAAGAGTCTGGGTGCAAACCACCCCAGGTCTCCCAGCCCTGGGATGAATCCAGGTAGATGGGCGGTTTGACATTTGAGAGGTGGAATGTTCTGATAAACGCTGAAATACTGCAAAGAGAGAGAGGAAGAGAGGACAATCTGCTGGCCAGTCCCACCATGTTGCAGAAGTGGAAACTCTGGGTTGGAAATCTTCTCTTCAAAAAAAGCCCAGCAAGGAGTTGCACTCAAGAACTATAATGAGGGGAAAGATTGATAAATATATAGTAGGAAGGAAAAGGATGGGTAAAAGGAATACTTAGGGAATGTATTAGAATACATAAAAGGGATACTTAGGGAATACTTGGTAATTTGATGAATGCTACAAAGTCATTTTCTTGGCCACAAGACGGTGGTGGGCTCAAAGACGATGGGATCTGCCTTCCCCGTGATTCTGGCCCCACATTTAGGGCATAGAGCAGTGTTTCTCAACCTTGGCAGCTTGAAGATGGGTGGACTTCAACTCCCAGAATTCCCCAGCTGGCTGTAACCCATCTTCTGAAACTAAAAGAACTCTTGTCAATTTCAGGCCAGCTGCCAAACATCTGGAATCAGTACCATGTCGCCGGGGAAGGGCAGTGTGATTGGCTATTGCTGGCAGCCCTCGAGGGAAGCACCGAATGCAGTATGCAAAGCGGGTGTGTGTGTGTATGCGCGCGAAAGGGCACCTCCCCCTACCCAAAGCAGTAAAAATAGGAGAAAGATTGGCACCTTTGTTGGCAAAAGAAGCCGAACACTTGTACCACTCTCACTGGGGACAAAAACCAGCAAGATATCTTCAACTGACCTCCCAGGCAGAGGGCACTAGAGATGTCTTGTAAACCCCGTTTACTGACCTTCTGAAAGTTCACAAAGTGGGCAGACAGTCCCCTGATGCCTGATCAGTCCCACAGCCTGAGCCAAAATGGCAGGAAGGGGTGCCCGATGAATGGCATGGAGAGGGCACGCCCTCAGCAGCACAAAACAGCCAAGGAGAACTGGCTGGCCACCTCCCAGCCAACACCATCACCAGGGCATCGTCGAACATTCCCATGGCAAGATTTAAAACTGAAATTATGGGCTCAGAGATTATCTCAGAGAATGGAGACGCTCTGCTTGGATCTGGGCAGAGGGGGTCTTTCTGGACTGCTAACACTGGTGACGTTACCTAGTCGGGTAAAGAAATGTCTGCAAGCCACCAACCGAGCTCAGAGAGGACTCTGCACGGAGTTAAGCCGTATTTACTCACCATTCAAAAGAGCAAAACAATAAAATAAAATAATAAAAACAAAAGAGCTAAAAAGGAAACAGAAGGACTACAACGCACTCCCTCCAGCAGATAAGCAGGGATTGGCTCCAGACAAGCCATCAGGCAGAAAACAATAATCCAGGAACCACCGAGGAGAAAACCACACCCACACCAGCTACTGCATATAAACAGGGAGCAAACCCCACACTCCCTCGCACTGATGATGTCACCTAGCTGGGTCATGAAACATCTGCAAGCAAGCAAGCTCGGAGAGCCCCAGCTCCTCGTAGAGTGAACCCATACTCCCGTACCATTCAACGGAGTAAAATAGTAAAAATAAAAATGGTAAAAGAAAAAGAAGAGAGCTAAAAGGGAAACAGAAAGACCACCACACATCCCCTCCAGCAGCCGCGTTCAGATAAGCAGGGATTGGCACCCGACAAACCATCAGGCAGAAAACAACACCCTCATCCAAGGAGAAGCCCCCACCCCAACAATGGCAGGGCAAGCTCCTGCATGTAAACAGGGGGCGAAGCCCACACGCCCTCCCTGGCACTGACGCTGTGGTTACCTAGTCGGGTAATGCCCCGCCCGCAGGTGAACCACCCAGCCCAGAGGCCGCCGAGGGCTCCAGAAGGCTTGGAGACGGGACGCGCCCTCCTTCGCGGCGTTT